ACAGATAAACCATATTGTATACTGCAGTATATGTGACTACAGATAAACCATATTGTATATTGTAGTATCTGTAACCACAGATAACCCATATTGTTTACTGCAGTATATGTGACTACAGATAAACCATATTGTATATTGTAGTATCTGTAACCACAGATAACCCATATTGTTTACTGCAGTATATGTGACTACAGATAAACCATATTGTATATTGTAGTATCTGTAACCACAGATAACCATATTGTATACTGTAGTATCTGTAACTACAAATAAACCATATTGTATACTGCATTATCTGGACCACAAATAAACCATATTGTATACTGTAGTATCTGTAACCACAGATAAACCATATTGTATATTGTAGTATCTGTAACCACAGATAAACCATATTGTATACTGCAGTATATGTGACTACAGATAAACCATATTGTATATTGTAGTATCTGTAACCACAGATAAACCATATTGTATACTGCAGTATCTGTATCTACAGATAAACCATATTGTATACTGCAGTATCTGTAACTACAGATAAACCATATATATTAGATAAATCCATTTATTTACCAAAATATTTAAATTTTCCCAGAAAAGCAAAGAAACGTTATATTGAGAAGAATCTCAAGGAAATTTAATCAATTAATGTAAAGTTAGGTTGAGGTATTTTTCAGGTATTTTTTCCGTTAAAACAATGCAAATTTCTAGACAAACTATTCAGCTTAGGGATTGGATATAAATATTCTCGAACATATCTTCAATTAGTACAACTTTGTAAATTCTTTTCGTTCTTTTCTTCTTCTGTTAGTTTAATTACCCCTAACAGCTGGCCGATTTACAATGGCACCCTTAAAAGTTTTATCTGATAATGTATGAGTTAAATAATTTTAAAAACTGATTGTTATCAATTGCGGATTCTCTACAAAAGTGACTTTCGCATTTTTACTGAAGGAAAACACATAAGAATTGTCAGAATTAAACACTTTTAAACCTTGGAAAACGACAAAATATAATACATTTTTTTCAGATAAAAGTTTCAAGGGTACCGTTGTAAATCGGGCATTATCATTTTTGCATGGAGGGTTCTTGTTGTTGGCTGCTGAAGACATAAATACAATTGTTTAAAGAGACAAAAAGCGTAATATCTATCCGGTCTTGCAAACAAGACAATTCCTGATTCAAAACGTTAGCTTCGAAACCTTTATTTGATCAGTAATGTGAAAGATATTGTCGTTTTTATGGGTTGAAAATTGTTAAATTTTGATAATTCAAATATGTTTTGCTGCCGTAGAAATGCGCAACTGCAAGTCATTTTGTAGAAAAACAACATTTGAAAATAATTAGTTTTTAAAATTATAAACATTGATATCTAATTCATACTTGATCAGATAAAGCTTTAAAGGGTATAATTGAGAATTACTTAAATATCGCTCACAGTCCCATTTTGAATTTCTTTATTCATATATTAAATTCTAATCTCTGGTTGATTAAATTTCTACCAGAAATTATGCTTAAATGTTAAGTACTGTACTATTTTTAGATTGAAGAAAAATATAGTTGTCTAGACAGCCTTTTTTCCTTTCTAGTAGCATTTCAATGTTTTCTGGATATTACAGAACGAAAAAAAATTTTAGATTATAGATAAACTTCATTTTTTTTCTTTCTAGTAGCAGTTTTGTCCCTCCCCTCCCCCTTCAATGTTTTCTGGATATTACAGTACAGCAATTAAACCAACAGGTTCCTGTCGGCCCCTCAAAGGGTTTAAGGTGAGAACCTACCCCTAGTCGGCCCCTTGACGGAACCCTTAGACCCCTTGGAGACAATAGTTCTGATACAACCAGACAAAAGGCCGCCAATAATTATAATTGCAGCAACCTAATTACTCCCGGTTGCAAAGTCATTCCCCAGTGTTATTCCTGTCCCCAGCTAGCTGATCGATTGACCCAGCTAGCTGATCGATTGACCGGAAAGAATTTAAGTTTAAGTTGAATGGTTGAGAATAATCCCGACAATTAGTTTTGAATTGGAACTTTGAGCACACGACAAGTAATTAATAATCAGATTTAAAAACAGAAACAATGAATTTTCGAACAAAACTTTAAATGACTTGAGTCATCTGTAAAAAATAGATCCTATCATTCTAGTACCGTAAACCCCATAAAACTATGGAACCGGAAGAGACGGCTGTTAAACTGAAGTTATTATTTTAGTTAACTGAGACGTACCTCAATTCACTTTCACGATAAGCGCGCATACATTACGTACACGGTCAACTAGAGGTCCCGGTTAAACATCAAGAAAGTCTTAACGTTAAACCCCATTTTCGCACATTAAATGTAGATGTTTAGTATTTGATATATAATACTTTTTTGTTGGACTAAATGTATAAGGTTGTTTACGCTATTGTTGACGGATTTTAAATGAGAAATCAAAATATAACTATAAATATTCCGATACAGACAGGATGCACTTCGTTAAAGTTAGTTTTACGTGATTAATACTCCTTTTTTTAACGGAGACAAAGAATTATCGAAACTTATAATAACTTATACAGGGTGGCCCAATCAACATTGGAATTAGGAGACGAATTCAGAATAGTCTTAGTTTAGAATTAGCGCTGTACTAAACCTAATTTCAATGGTCAAAATAAAGTAACGCCTACTATAGAGTATATTTTATGTGAACGAAAAAAGAAGGTTTTGTTATTAGAAGACAANCCCCCCCCCCCCGGACGTATCTCTCAAGATGACTTATCAGAAAAACATATTTTTCGCTTTATATTTAGCGTCAAAAGCTTAGACCATCAACAAATGCTGAAAAGTATGCTTTAAAAAATCAAATACGCGTCATTATAGAAAGTACAGAATTATTTTCAATATTTTCATTTCATTGTTTTCTGTGGATTTGTAGAAGTAACCATTAAGCCTTTACATTTTAGTTCATCTATCTCCCCATTTTGATTTTTTGTTTCTAATGAACAGCTCTAGAGAAACTGAGAAGAAAATATAACGATGGAAACTAGAGAAAAGAAGATGGAGAACAGAGAAGTAAGAGAAGGTAAATAAAATATTACGAAGTATAGGGGGGGGGGGTATTTTT